ATCCTAAGCCATATCTGACAGAAAAAAAAAGAGAAACTCATGTCTGTAATTTTAAGAACTCATGAAAGTGAAGAAGACCGTAGTAATAAGGCAACCACACTATTTCTGTTATATCAAGTGCCGACGAGGCTTTGCACCCAATATCAGAGCTCCTCTGGCCAGTTGGTACTGTTACGTCTCCGTTTGTTAATTGATTTTCCGTAACTTCGTTCCGACGAAACTTAAGCGACACAAGTTCTTTCTTAATAAAAACTGGTTTATTCTTTCCAAATATAACTTTACCGATACACTCAACTTCAACAATCGCGCTAAACAAACGCTGTAATGTCTCTCGTGCTCTCTGACTGCAGTTCAATTACTCACTGTCTATACACACCTTCCCGCGTCACGTTGTCCCCTCTTATATATATCCGCCTACCCAAAATCTAGTAAGAACTTGAACATTCGCCAAAGTACATGATAGTTCTAGAAACGTTGCGTCATAGTAGTCATGTGACTCGCTGACGCAACACTGCCCCTCCTTAATATTGTTCGTCCCGAACAATAACCACATATGATAAACCAATAACAATAACTTAATTAAAATGTACAGAATTACAGACACAAAATTACAATTCAACAAAGTCTCTTAATTTTACGGGACGTATCTTCTTCTGTACTGGTCTCCGTCTCATTGGCTTCTGCTTCATGTGGGGTTCATCCGTTTCATCAGTAAATGTCCAATCATCAGTAACAGTCACATCAGTGGTAGTAACTTCACCAAGAGCTTCACCGTTTCCCTTCTCAAAACTGTGTAGAGTTTCTTCTTCGATGGTGGTTTCTTCAGGTGGCACGTCTTCAGCAGCATCATTTGTTCTGTTTTCTACTTCGTCCCAAGTGAAATGTCCTGGACCGTGATAACGCCAAAGCCTGTTGGCATGCACCACTTTTGGCTTACCTCGCCAACCACATTTTATCCGGAAAGTCACGTCTGAGAGACGATCCACTATGTCGTATGGGCCTTCCCATGGAGAAGACAACTTAGGAGACTTCCCTTTGGTCTTCCTGGGATTATACAACCACACCTTGTCTCCTGGTACAAAGCTGACCTCAGTAGATCTCTTATCATAAGCCAACTTCATCGAATCAGCAGACGTTTTCAAGCTTGTACGCACCTGATGGTGAACATCATCCATCCTTTCCAATAACACTTTAACAAACTCTGGCACATTCTTAGGCAACTCTTCATAAGATGGGCATCCTTTATGCTCGGGTCCCCTTTTTGCACTACATGTACTGCATGTCCGTAACCATTCTTGCACCTCTCGCCTCATACCTATCCAATAAAATCTTTGTCGTAGATGACTCAATGTCTTCCTAATCGCAAGTTTTTATTTACCATGTATATATGTATATCGTTGTGAATGTTTAATCAGAAGTTTTATTTACCATGTATATATGTATATCGTTGTGA